GAAAATAATATATTATGAAGAATTCATACGGGAAGTTAGTTAACGAGTTCACAATGAAAGTAAATGCCCGATATTGGGCGAATTCGTGTATCATTGGCGTCATAGGAACATTCCGGGGTCTTCGTTTTCCAGGGTCTTCGTTTTCCAGGGTCTTCGTTTTCCAGGGTCTTCGTTTTCCAGGGTCTTAGGTCTTAGGTCTTCGTTTTCCAGGGTCTTCGTTTTCCATACACCCGTCGTCGCGCAACACATTCGTGGGATATGGGTCTCATATGAACAAAGATGACGACTTTGACTGATGCACAGACCAGGGAGGTATTCTGTTTATACCTCCATGCACAAACCAACGAGCACAAACTGAAACGTTACCAAGGTGATTGGAGGGTACGAACGGGTCATAGACGGTAGTTCGTGCAAGTGCCGCCAAGGTCATAACTCGCCGGTAGAGCGCATTCGAGTGTGGGAAAATCAATGTTTATCAACACTAATGTCGCACATGCGCGGTGCGACGGCCACCGCCCTTAAAAGGGGATCTTGAGCAAAACAAAATCGCGTGGCGTATATTTATGTTACATCCTATATCCAGTATGTGCGACATGTGAGTCGACTTGATTTATGCCACTGAAGAGCTTCCACGTTGTGGGCGTAACGTATAGTTACTAGTTAAATAGTTATGTTACATGATAATTCAAAACACACAAATCGATTTCCCGGTTATCGCTAATAGACACGACAGTACATTTCTAGTCTTCTTCATATCTGACCTTCTCTACCTCGTGGAATACGTTCAACGCAGAGGGCCTCAGGTGCGCGTCTTTGGACCAGCATTCTTCCATAACAGATCGCCATGCTTTGTGCATGGGTTTATCGCTAGCGATGCGAGGTCTCGTAGACGACAAGACATACGACGTGAACCTCTCCCTCGACGACACCACCAGCTGCTTGAACCCTTGTGTGATTTTCTCCCCGTACCACAGCTCCCACATCAGTAGCCCGATGCTGTAGATATCTGCCATGCTGTCATACTGTGCGCCTTCCAGGACTTCGGGACTCAGATACATAAAGTTCTTGTCGTTGGTGTCGCTGCCAGGATCTAATGAGATTGTTCGTGGGAGGCTGATGTTCGTCAACAGAACTTTTCCTCTTACTGTTACCTAGAGACAAAAAACAAGCATCATAATGATTTCAAAATATTCATAATTTCAGTGGTATTTTGTATTTAAATAACTCCTTTACTAGGGTATTTGTTTTCCTAAACACTGATTTATTTTAACGTGTTTTATATAATAAATTTGGTGAGCGAAATAATCCCTCAAATAAATGACAAAATGGGAGGAGCTAATTCAGTCGACTTTGTAATGCCAGCAATTTTAATCGGGAAAATGGGGAAAAAACATATACATACATGGCTCGCAATTCAAAAAAAAGTGTTTTTGTGTATCTTCAAACAGGCTACCACGGCGAACTAGTATCATAGCTCATAGAAATAACAGTGTCGTGAGTGTGATTCGATTTTGATTAATCGAAGGTAAAAATCGCAAGACGGAGAATTCTTCAAATCATGACGTACCATGAGAGTATCCAGCGACAGTTCGATGTGCACTAAACCTTTCCTGTGCAAGAAATCCAGACCCCGGGCGGTCTGACTGACGTAAGACACTACCGACTGCACAGCGATTGGTTTATAGAAACTGGCAGGTCGCTTCAGTTTGCTTTCTCCGAGCTGGAATCTTCGAAGTGAGCACTTACAATCCTCGAACACAAATGCCGGTTTCTTTGACGAACACAGGGGGTCCTGAATCAGACCGATTAGATTTGGAATATTTGGAAAGCGAAGTTTTCTGCAAGAGACGAAATAAAAGTATATTGTAAGTGTGCCCGTACAGCTGCCTATATTGGATGCTGGTTATAATTCGAAGAATCTGCACCCCAGCTATTCTATATAGAACATTTTGAAATTTCAAAAATGTACACAGTCACAGCGTGTTGTTCAAAAAGAAGAATTGAATACTGTTTTCTATAAACAATGTGTTTATGCTCTGTAGCAAGGAAAACTAAACGCGCCTAGGACGTGAATGAGTGAAATGAAGAAATTTTATATCAGCTGATATTGTTTTTATCTGCAGCCTTTCGTGAATTGAAAAATAGATTTTTATTAAGATGAAAAACTGCAACAGCCAAACAAGGTTGTCGTTTTAACGACGTTGCTCTAAATGAAAAGTTGACTTCACTGACGCGTTTCGTCACTAGATGGCGCAACTTGTATGTGCAAGGTTTGTTTGCTGCTTGTAATATGTATATGGTGAATATGTACTCGGACTTGTTGCTCATTTCGTTGAACTGTCACCGTGTATTTAATGTTAATGAATCATAAATTACTTTACGTGGGTTTGAGGAAGTGAAAAGTCATACAGCAACTGTAAAAACTCAATTCAACACCAAAGCATATGCTGGATTCGTGTCGTATTGAACACATGTCTCTGAGAGGCATAAAATACGGCTGCATTATTAGACCGTCGATATCGATTAAATAGGGTATTGAGACTAATTTGTGAAATATTGGTGTGTCTGAATTTGGGTGAAATATGGAAAGTTGATCAGTCACCCGGATTCGCTTTTATTCCGAATTACTTCAGGCCACATCATAGAGATCATTATAATATTGATTTGACTGAAACAAAAGCAAGTCTAAGTATGTGGATCTACGCATAGAAGCAGAAGCAAATGAACTCACAATCAAATGGGAGGCCGAAATAATCACCAACCACAGTCAGCTGG